ATTTGAAAAATTCCTTAGCTTTTAGCCCTTTATGAGTATAAATTTTCACTCATAATGGTCTTAAAAAGTTCTAAATTTAACTTGGTGAAACCTGCAGAAACCCTGGTTTAAAGCATGTCAAAAACGTAGATGCCCACAATTTTAAACATGCTGAATGAAATGGATACTAAAATAATTAATTATTATAAAACATTGTACAGTATTCTAAACTATTTTAATGATGTTGTGGGACAACATGAGGCAAAATAAACAAATTATAGTAGAACAATAATGTTTAGCATTGCACTGACTACAACTGGCCAACAAACTAGTCTAAAAATGACTTTTGCTTCTTAAGAAATGGATTTCAGCATGCTGATGATATGCAAACATTTGAGTGTAAAGTTTATTAGAATTTTGACCATATTCTTTGTGTACCAGCAGACATTGGAATCTTTTTGCTTGAGACTTTATTTAAAGAATTAATTTTTAGATCCTAAAAACAGTGTTATGCTGCTTAGGCATGGGACGATAACAGTTTTCATGGTATAAAGCTGCCAAATTATTCTGCTATATCATTACTACTGTATATGTAAGTTTTTTATGTTTTAAGTTTTTCAGGACAACAGTATCTCCAGCAGAAAAGATATCAAAAGATGCCATTTTAAATCATAAAGAAATCTGTGTTTCTAAAACTAATGAAGACAGCAAAAGTCAATGATTTATTAGAATTATTCAGCCTGACATGTTTACTGCTCCAAAACACTTTTAAAGTTTCTCAAAAAAAAATATATTGTGTTCAAAGGGGAAAACTGTTTGTTTTTTTACCCAGACATATAAAAAAATATTCATTTTAGAGCAGTAATCACAGTACCGTGAAACTGTGATATTTTTATTCAAGGTTATTAGAATTAGAATCTTATACTGGCCCTTGCCTAATGCTGCTTAATGTTGCAAAGTCAAAATTTCTATTTTTATTATTTTTGTTTGTATGTATAGTCATGAACACACTTGTTTGCAGAGCAAGTAGTGTGACCGTTTTCTGCCATTTATTATTCCTGGTCATTTCTCCAAGAGGCACTTGAATTGGAAGTTCTAAAACATTAGCATATGAAATCAGGTCACTGCTATGACATGATTGACAATTTTTGTATGTCGCTGTTTGTCTTTGTGCTCTGTTTATGCTGAGAACTGATGCTGAGTATTTTTAGGGCTTTTCACACTTCAAATGCAGAATCCTGGGTCATTCCCACTCTGAATAACAAAATCCTTGGTTATCTGTAAGCACATTCCACTCTCCTCATGCTATACCAGGGGCTAACAAATAATCCTAGATGTTCATTAACAGACATTACACATTCCCAACCACCGGGTAAACATTATTATTTGTATATTTATGTTGTCACTGTCCCTGATTAGACAAACAGCAGGTCACCTTTTTTTGATGCCATTTCTGCATCTTGTCAGGTATATAAAATGTCATCATGTAGGTCTTCAGCTAAGCCTCGGGACATGCACAAAGGCAAGAATAAAAAGACAAAAGTACAAGTGAATGAAAACAAGTTGCAAAGTATGTCATCTTGCTATCTCCTCATTACTCCAGTTTACAGCAAACTGGCATTAAGCATTTGCATTAGTTCATTCATTAATTTTCCTTTGGCTCAACTGGGCCGAAAAAGGAAAAAGTTGAAGAGAAATTGCTAGTTCCCTTCAAAACCCAGGCAGTGTTTCCTCTAGGATTTTTTCCAGCTGTAGCGGCAGGCCTTTTTTAGACAGATCTACCAACTACCTGTGGTGTTATTTCAATGACAAATGTCGTGACCCCAGTATTAGAAGTCGAGATCACATTTATGTAATAGCCTACAGCATGCAGATCTCTTTGCTTGTACATTTATGAATGTCTCTAATAGACCTACAGAACGATATTAATGCGTCCTGAAGTAAAGTGAAACGGCTATAGATCGTGTTTGCTGGCCTCACGCATCTGTCAGTCAGCCAGTCAGTCTGTCAGCACTTATTCTTAACGGGGTAAACAAATAATACACAGCACTACTACGATTACAGAGAAGTTCACGCTGTTATAATTCACTCAACCTTTTAATACATTTTGACGTTTAATACGTTATTACTGGCTATTAAAAAAATTAAATGTTTTGAATGAGAAGCTGTAATGTAGCCGTGGCAGGATGAATTTTGTCATGGTGCCCCGCCATGGAAGAATTAATGTAGCGGAAACCATGCCAGAGGAGCAAATATATACATTTTCTACCCCATTAAAGGCTTCTTTCTCTTTATGTAGTTAATAACAAAAGATATACCACGTGTTTTTGGCTGTGAGACATAGTTTGGACAAAGTTGTCTGTGATTGTCCTTTTGTAAAGTCATGCAGTGTAAAACTCCCTGTCGCCAATCCATCTTGCAGTGTAAACAAAGCAGTAACAAAACACTAACCCAGATAGTCATGCAGTGTGAAAAACATCCGTAACAAGAATATTTTGAAAATCATGCAAGCTGAACTCAACATTAGTCCCTTTATTAATCAAGGGTTACCACAGTGGAATGAACCACTATCTTTTTTAGCATATGTTTTAAACAGCGGATGTCCTTCCAGCTACAACCCAGTACTGAGAAGCATTTGCATAAGTTATATCATTGTTTCCTTTAGGATTTTTTCCAGCTGTAGCGGCAGACCTTTTTTACACAGATCTACCAACTACCTGTGGCGTTATTTCAATGACAAATGTTGTGACTGCAGTATTAAAAGTTGAGTTCGCATTTATGTAATAGCCTACAGCATGCAGATCTCTTTGCTTGCCCAGGTAAAAAAAAAAAAAAAAGTGCACTACAATGCACTTTGAGTATACTTAGTACACTTTTCAGTAATGTACTAAAAGTGCTCTATTTTCGCACACTAATTTTGTACTTAATGTACTAAAAGATAGTATTAAGTATATGTTAGGATAAACTTAACACCATCTAAGTGTACTCAACTGTGCTATTTTGAGACACACTGAAATTTAATTAAAATGTGCTTTTAACATACTATATCTGTTTTTTTTAAAATATATATTTAGTTACAACTAGAAAAACACTGGAACCCTACTTTTAAACATTTAAATATATTTATGACTAATTTAAAGTATAATAGTAATATATTAAAAGAATATACAAATTGTAAAAAAAAAAAAGTGTGCTAAATACTGTATTAAAAGTGCTCTATTTTCCCAAACTAATTTTGTATTTAATGTACTAAAAATTAGTATTAAGTACATTTTAAGAACAGTGAAAGACCAGTTGCGATGAATAAAAACAAAGAGTCAGGAATGAAATAAAATAGAAGGAAATTTAATTACTTTTTTTGTAGTTTTGACAGCAAGAAATCAGCTTCAGCACTCTCCATGAGCTCCACAGGTCGACCTTCCTTACATTCAGGATACAGTGATATTTATGCTAACAGAGTCAACAAACCTTTGTCATTAGATTGTTTAGACATCCTCACGTAATTGGTTAGACAAAAGATAATTAAGTAGAAGGATAAACAGTCCAGAACAATTTTAGAATATGCAATGTAAAACATATGTTTCCTTAGATTATCATATTATTGACTACACTGGATATACACAAACATAGCATCCCTTCTGCATGCCCATTCTTGGCTTTCCTGATCATTCCTTGACCCACAACACACACATACTTCAAGACAATAATGTTTTTGGTAAGATTACCACACTCAAAATCAATTTAAGTGTTAGTGATAATTGCATTCACATTAAGTGTTCTTAAGTACAACTTTTGGGAAAATGTACTTCTACTATATTACATTACTAATAGATGTTCTATATATTAACTTATTTTAAACTTAAACAGTGTACTAAAAATCAACTAATGTTTAAAGCATTTAAAGCACACTTTTGAAAAACACACTAATAAAACTCTTTTTGGTGTTTTTTTTTCTGTAGTGTACTTTATTGTAGTACACTAAACATGTATTTAAGTATTACTGGTATTTAATATACTTTTGTCAAGTGTACTAGAGTCCTAATGAAGTATAAACATACTTATTTAGTATATTTATAGTGTAAAATCATCAAACTTTTATTTAACACAAAAAAACAACAATGTACTTAAAATGTATTTGCGGGTATTTAAGTGTATTTTAATTGCATTTAATTATATATTATTTTCACCTGGGATGTCATCTCGCCATTTCCTCATCACAGTTTACAGAAAACGTGGCATTAAGCTTTTGCAAAAGTTCATTCATTCATTTTCCTTCGGCTTAGTCCCTTTATTTATCAGGGGTCGCCACAGTGGAATGAACCACCAACTTATCAAGCATATGTTTTCAACAGCGGATACCTGTCCAGCTGCAAACCAGTACTGGGAAACATTTGCATAAATTATTTACAACAATGCAAACTCAATAATATAAGCTGAATTATGCATACTTGCTATGAACATGCAGGATTTGTCTCAATCGGGTCTTCTAAGCAAGTTACAAATGTTTAAATCCAGTGGAAGATACACATAAGGGAACACAACATGAGTAATCTAAAGCGAGTGCATTTGATCATTTGCATTTAAAGCCACAGGCACAAAAACAGCTTGGTTTTTCTCTGACCCCCAAAATGAAATATTCTGCAAGGTATATGATCTGATTTTGAGCCGAAACCTCAGACACATTCTGGGAACACCAAAGACTTATTTTACATCTTGTAAAAATTAAAAAAAATAAATAAATAAATAAAATTAGCCTCACCTTTTACTCTCCGTTAATAAGTTATCCCTTGGTTCTTTTGAGCACAAGATATTGTAAAAATGCAAGCTTCCTTTGTGTTTCAAAAGACAGGAAATGTTTAAAACCACATGACGGAGAGTAAATGTTAATTGGTTATTTTTATTTGTGGGTGAAACATCCATTTCATGCTTATCGCTATGTGGCTTCATACTAAAGTTCACTTTTTTGTTGTTTTTTAAGATCTGATGGTGCTGAAAGAAGAGACACATCAATGGAATGAAATGGAAGAGAAACACCAAGACATAATGACTGATGAAAAACCCACACTGACTAAAAAGACTTCATCACGTGGAAGACCTCGGAAATCCAAATCTAAGTGTAATTTCAGCAGTAAACAGCGTAGAAAGACTTTTAGTCAAAAGCCAAAGCTTGATGTTCACATGAGAGTTCACAAAGGGGAGAAAACTTGCACCTGCAAACAGTGTGGAAAAAGCTTCTATACTATAGGAAACTTAACGGTGCACATGAGAATTCACACTGGGGAGAAGCCTTACACCTGTGAACAGTGTGGAAAGAGTTTTTTTCAAAAAGAAAACTTTAAAACCCACATGAGAATTCACACTGGAGAGAGGCCGTACACATGCCAACAGTGTGGAAAAAGCTTCTATCATGCAGGAAACTTGATAATGCACATGAGAATTCACACTGAGGAGAGGCCTTACTCTTGCCCTCAGTGTGGAAAGAGTTTTAAGCAAAATGGCAACCTTGAAGTCCACATGAGAACTCACACTGGAGAGAAAAGATTTACTTGCACACAGTGTGGGAAAAGTTTTGTTAAAAAACAAAACCTTGACATCCACATGAGGATTCACACCGGAGAGAAACCTTACACATGCACAGAGTGTGGTAAAAGTTTCACATATAAAAGCTCACTCAATAACCACATGAGAACTCACACCGGAGAGAACCCGTTTGCATGTGCTCAGTGTGGAAAGAGCCTCTCAAGCAAATCTAGCCTCATGAACCACATGAATGGTCACACTGGAACCATAGTGTTCACATGTGATCATTGTGGAATTAAACTCAAACGCAAAGACTACATTAGGCGACACATGAAGACTCACTCAAGAGAGGATCATTTTAGATGCAGTGAGTGTGGAAAGGGCTTTACTCATAAAAGAAGCCTCAGCGCTCACATGAAGCTTCACAATGCAGAGCAGAGTCCTGAAAAATGAGGCCTTGTCCACAGAAACACTGGTATATTCAAAATGGCAGCTTTTTCATGTAGTTTGGCTGTTCATTCAAGTTAAGTTTATTTTTAAACTACTTTTGAGAGGATCACATGCTTATGATTGTCCACAGCTGGTCCAGCATTAGCTAAAACATGATTCACCAACCAGATGATTCCAAACTCACTATAAATAACCAGAGTTTTTTTTACCTCAGTTATTGCTTACATGCAGGGCCGGATCAAGCTGAACTGCCGCTCTAGTCAGAAGACAGTCACGCCGCCCTAAACCCCAATGTGAAAACGAAAGTGACCGGTTATGAAAATGAAGCGAGGTATCGTGGACCTCTTTTCTGCAGCCCTATGCGCGGATATAACTGAGGAAGCTCGAGTGCTGAGGGATGTGTCACGGACACCGCCCTCTCTATTCTGTCGCCTATGCACGAATATAACTGAGGACGCGGGTGGTGAGGGAGGTGTTGCGGACATAACTGACTACGCCGTTTGCTATAAAGTAGTGTCTCACAGACTGTACTTTGGTTTAAGGTACTTGAAGACGGATGAGTTAACATCACCGATGAGGACCTACACTATTAGTTGTCTTCAATAAAGTTTTCTCCCTGTAAGAACTTTGGTCAGCTTCCTTATTTCATCTGTTAGAGTCATCTATACATTGGCAAGCCACACAAGAACGGTTAAGCCAAATACAGCAAAATATAACAATGTGCTTCAACTTATTATGAACCAATAACCATATTTGTGCACAGTGCACATTTGCAAACAGTTTATTAATTTACCAAACAAATGATCGGCTCTGAAAAAGAATTAGAAAGATTAGGGAGGAGAAAATATTTGAGGAGATGCAGGGAACACTGACCTACACCCTCAGATTGTGTTTTTGATAATTCACATTATTTGATTGTCACTCGCCTGAACAAACAAAGATTTACATCCAATTTTGTGCTTTTGTCTGCAATTTCACAAAACTTGTTAGTGGATAAACTTGTGTGGTGTGAACTCGCTGTAAGGCAATGACAATGAGCGATCGATACAGACTCGCTGAAGCCCTGTTCAGACAATGCCATTTGCCAGTTACCACAGATCAGATTTTTGTCAGATTATGAGATTTTAACTTGATTAACTCTTGATGTGTTGTGGGTAACAAATGAAGACTTTGATTTTAAAACACTACACATTTATTTTGATGGACTGATTTGAGAAAAGAAACAAGTTTTCTTTCTGAAAACAATTACACTCTCTGTACACAACTTGTTGTCTTTAAAGATGCAATAATGTGAAAACTCCCATATTACTACAAATAAATCTGTGTATGGGAAACCCAGTGTCTTCAGTGAATGAGAACATGAGTCATTTGTTAGCTTACATGCTAATTTCAGTACTTAACAGACTACTGAAGCACTTCAGCTATCTGATAATTCCAATTATTATTTGTATGAAAATTTACATTTAAATAAGCATATAAATTAGCTTTAATATAAAAAGCTTGTTTTTGAAGCTAAATCTATAACATAAGTTGAATGATTTGCACTGATATTATATTATAAATTGCCGTCTTGAACATGTGCTGCATCAGAAGTGTGTATTTCTGGATTGTAAATGTATTTAGATTCATTATATTTTTATATTTTGATATTTCTATAAACTGCAACAAAGAAGTGAATTGCACTGATTCTGGAGAAATGAGTCAAACTGACTCTCATGTGTCTTGAGATTGGCTGTTTGCCGCATTTGTGTGTCTTGTGATTGGCTGTTTGCTGCACTTGTGTGTCTTGTAATTGGCTGTTTGCTGCACGTCACACTTTATGCTGCATTTGCTCCAGAGTTGATCACAAACTAAAGTAAACTTGACGGTTTATATCAAGCATTGTCAAATCATTTAACATAGCCATAACCAGGTTGGGTTTATTTGATTTTGTCAACTTCCAGAGCTTTATCTTTTAACCAGGAGAAGGAGGGAAAATGCACTCACTCTGCATAGTGACATCTTAAAATAATATTTAAACTAGCCTAATAGACCAGGGGTTCTCAACCTTTTGCAAGCTGCCCCCACCCCCAAAAGCTGGTCAATTGCAGTTGTATATAGTGTATATAAACTAAATACGGCCTCATGTTTTATACGTTTGCAGCCTCTGCAACTTCTGTCCATCATAAAAATTTATTTGGATGATTTGACTTTCCACCGTTTTCTAAAGTCTTTGAGCGCAGCACACACAAACTAAATTGACATACGGCAGTTGCACTTCAAAATGTGGTGTTTTTACATTTATAACATTTGAGCACAGTTCAGCAAAATACATCACATGATCTGACGACCAAGAGATCTTAATTAACACCAAACGATTAAAAATGTGACACTGATTTACCTACAGAGTTCATACAGACACAGCCTAATAAAAATCAAGGTTTTCTAAGCACTTTTTCCAGCACCTATTTTTATTTTCAAGACTGGCACGCAACGTATTGAACACCTGAAATGTATTCTCAGCAACCCATTAAAGCATTGCATAGGAACCATCTATTGATTTATTAAAGAAAATGTTAATAAGATATAATAATTAGTTAATAATATATTTATAATTAAGAGTATAATAAACCAAAATTGACACTCAATGTATTGAACACCTGCAATGTCTTCTCAGCAATTTATAAAAATACTGCATAGGAACAATCTATCGATTTATACAAATAAAAAACGTTTATGAACAATAATAATAATTGATCATATATTAATAATATAATAAGCCTGCACTAAATGTGCTTGTGATTTTTTTATTTATTTTTATTTATTGATGTTCTCTCACAGATGAAAAGAAAACAGAATATTTGTAGTCAAGTTATATTACAATTACACTGCTAAAATAATTCAAGTTTTAGTAAATAATACTAATATTTTACCAATTACTCTTTTAAAAAACTACTCTGAGTACTAGTTAATTACTTTTGAGAAAAACTCTGATTTTCATTATGGCCCTTTTTAAGAATAAAACTATTTAAATGGTTTAACTGCTTACATCACAAGGCTACATATAGGAATTTGGATTAACAAAGTATGGTCGATTTTTCCTTTCATGACATTGACTCAATTTCAATAGTACTGGCACAACTACCACATACTTTAAAGGCCATAGAGACACTTTTTGTCCATTTGTAAACAATACTTCCAAGCTTTGAAATGTTTAATTAAAGTATATGATGAAAAGATTTAAATTTGGGGTTTTATTTACATATTGTACACTATTGTCCTATTTGCTCATTGTTGTCTATACAACATTTTATTTTACACTTGATCTTAAACTGAAATAATTTTACACAAGGACAAGGACACTGTCAGTGATAAAATAATAAAACAAATGACTTCGTTTCACTTGAGGTATTTGAAATATGACGACTCTACATTTCTCAAAGCAGTGCTTTAAGAGCCTTATTGTTTATTTTGATAAATGTAACAAATTGTTTGACCTGTAATGCCTGCACAATTTAGTGATGCTTTAAGACCAATCAGAACACCCCTATTATGTATAAATCACATAAATACCTCATCCAGAAACATTTCTGGCATAATTATTTTGTCGTAAAGAAATAAAAAGTTTCACCTTTGCTAAAAGTTCTGGTAGTATAATATAATAACAGTGTTATTTGCAAACTCTAAATAGCGAAATCATATTAGCAGCCAATGACTATCAAAGTACAACATTGGTCACAGTCAAATAAACAGTGTTAATGTTGTTTTTAAGTCATACTTGCATGCTAATTCTGATCGAATATTCAAAATTAAATGGTAAACAATATAGAGACTTCTAAATGAACGAATGTGTGAATATAAAAAAAACTTTACCTTTATAACTCGCCATCGGGAGAGAAGAGAGTGAAACGTGTTTATAAAAAATGTAAAATATATTACAATTTGTTTATGAAATAATGACTGTTTTGGTCTAATTTAGCAGCAGAAAGAGATCCGATGAATCCAAACAAAGATAACAAATTTGCACGTCCCCAAGTGTCTGGCTTAAGAAGTTCTTGTAACTCAGAAAACAGCACTTCAGGATCCCTATTGCTTTCAGACGATCTGGTGTGTACACCTAATGACAAAACAGCTTCTCTGACGATTTTTCCATTGTCATGTCTTTTTGACCTAAGGGTATGAACCTAGCTTTTTGAAGGTCACACTGGATTGTGCTGCACAGCCAACTTCAAATGAACTGCATCAAAGACAACCCAGGTGGGACTTGAACCCACAATCCCCAGCTTCGAAGGCTGGTGCCTTATCCATTAGGCCACTGGGCCATGTCACTAATTTCTATCAAGTATCTCTTGTATGCCTTCAACAAGACTCTTCTTCAGGGCTTGTTGGTCTCGTGCTATGATTCTCACTTAAGGTGCGAGAGATCCTGGGTTCAAATCCTAGATGAGACCTATGTCTGTCACAGAAAAAGCAGTGGTGATGTGCTGTGCTGTCTAGGGTGTTTATATGTTAATTGTAGCACATTCAGCTGTGTTTTCAGTTAATGAACATGTTGTGGA